TCGACGAACCTGGTCCCCTATGTCTGAATGCGGCTCTGCTGACACAGTCTCCTCACCAGCCCTGGGGTCCGGGACCAGCAGAAGCAGCGACGATTGGAGACAGCGTGGGGCGAGAAGGATGGGGCCCGTGAGATCGGAGGCGGTGCCCTTGTGATCAGCACCATGTGGATGGAGAGCGGCCGCAGGCAGTGCCCGGGCGAGCGGAGCGGCAGCCGGAGACAGCACTGGGGGAGTGGAGGGGCGGCCACGGCTGCACTCTGGAGGGACAGCAGGTAGTCCTAAACACTGAGCCATCTCTCCAGTCCCCCAAATTAGCAGCTTTTTATACATCAAAAATCAATATGATGAGAAAGAAATCAAGAAAGCAGTCCTACTAACAGAACTCTCAGGAAAAATAAAATATCTAGAGTCGCCTAATTTGGGAAGTGGAAGCCCATGCAATGACACTCAAAGAATGATATTGAAGCCAGAACAAAATTGGAAGAATTGACAGAATATTGTTAAATGTTCATGTTACCAAAAGCAATGTACAGAATCAATGCAGTCCCCATCAAAATGGGAACAATGTTCTTCACAGACATGAAAATAGCAATCCTAGAATTCATATATGAGCGTAGAAATTCCTGAGTAATCCAACTGACCCTGAACAGGATAAATGTTGGAGGTATTACAAAATCCAATTTCAAATTAAGCAACAAAGCCATAGTAACAAAAGCTGCATGTTTATAGGACAAAAATAGACACAGGCAAATGGAAGACCTAGTGATAAATCCATGCAACTATAGCCATTATGTTCTGTGACCATGGTACATACATGGATAGAGGTAGTCTCTAAGAAATGATGCCAAGATAACTATGTAGATACATGCACAAGGATGAAAATACATTAATTTCTCTTGCCCTGTACAAAATTCAACTCAAAATGTATCAAAGTTCTTGATGAAATACCTGCAATTCTTAAAACTGCTATAGGTAAATATCATGGAAACGGTTCAGATACAGACATAAAGGTTTTGTGAGTGCATTATTAATAGCTCAGGAAATAAATGTAAGGACTGAAAAATGAAATTTCTTGAGGGTAAGAAGCTTCTGTACAGCAAAGGCAACAATCAACAGAGTGCAGAGACAGCCTGCAGAGTGGGGGAGAATCTTAACCAGCTGTTTATCTGACAGAGAACTTATATGCAGTAAAGAACTCAAATATTTAAACCCCATAAAAGGAAGCCATCCAGTCAATAAATGGATAAATGAATTGGACAGACAGTTCTCAAAAGAAAATATTCAGCATCCTTAGACACAAGTGAAATCCTGAAACTCACTGAGATTCCACCTCATTCCCATCAAAGGCACACCATCCAGAAGTCAAAGAGCAAATAGTGAGGATGTGAGACAACAGGAATCCTTGTACGCTGCTGCTGGGAGTGTACACTTATGAGTTACTGTGGAAACTAGTGTCAAGGATCCCCAGAAAGACTCAAAATAGAACTACCATATGATCCAGCTGTACCATTGGGAATATACCAGAAGGAATCTAAGTCAGAACACCGGAGACATAGAGATACCTGGACATCCGTGCTTCCTGAAGCACTGTTCACAACTGCCAAGATATGGAGCCATCTCGACGCCCTATTAACTAATAACAAAATTCTGGTATCAATACAGAGAGAGGTTTATTCAGCTGTAAAGAAGGAGGAAAGTATGCCTTCTGCAAGAAAATGGTTAGAACTGGAAGTGATATTAAGCAAAATAAATCATAATCACAAAGACAAGCATTGCATGCTTTATGTCATCTGTGTAATATAGAAACAAAATAAGCCAAGCAAAAGACATGAAAATAAAAGGGAAGGTGTTACAGAAGAGGGAGAGGGCCTGGGAAGTGGCTCACAGGGGTAAGAGAGATCGCTCGTGCAGGCAGGAGGATCTGAGGTCAGACCCTATGGAAGAGGCAGGCAAGGCTGCATGGACTTATGACATCATTGTGCTGTCATCAGTGGACACAGATTTGATAGCTGGAGCTTGCTGGCTACCAGCCCGGCTGCGGGTTCAGCGAGAGCCCTTCTCCGGGGATCAAGGTAGGGAACGTGATAGAATAGGACACCTGGTATCTTTCTCTGACTTTCATGGATGCATATGCATTGTACACACATGTGTAAACCTCTCCCTCTCTCCAACCCCTACATACACACACACACACACACACACACACACAGGCCAAAAGGTTAAGAGAGGCAAAATATGTTGGGTCTCTGGGACCCTCATAATTGTGGCATAACTTAAGACGGGGCCTATTATAACTTCCTGAGCCTGACTAAAGTTTGGCCACCTGTCTCTGGCCGGTCACTTCCTCGTGGAGGTGACTCAGCAGGGCCTGACCTCTCGGACTGCCTCTCCCCAGTCACAGCTGGCATGGCCAATTTCCAGTGGCTCACAGCCATTGCCCCAGATGACATACACCTTTGCCCTTCCCTTTTCCACACCCCTTTTTGATTAAACTATATAAGGTAATGCCTGATGCAATAAAGTAAGTTCCTGCCTCAACAAGGCTCCCGACTCGGTGTGGTTTTTGAGTCGCCGACACTCACCATCCTGCTCAGCCCCTAAGAGAGGAACCCAGGCTGGTCCTGGCCTCTCTCCCTGTGCCGTACCTGTCGGAGAGCGATCCGGCAAAAACATACCCAAAGTGTCCATATTTAGAAATTCTTCAATGAGATCTGTTGTTTTGTGTAATTGACATACACTAATAGGAACATGAGTCTTGAAACAGGATAGAAAGCTAATTTCCTCTAGTATTTCTTGTGGTAGATACATGAGTTTAAAATGTAATTGTAGTGAAAGTGTAAAACTCTAAGCAAAGTCCTATGACTTCAGAATGGCCATTTTGTGCTGAACAGATCTCCACTAAGATGCACAGAGTTTGGAAGTGGATGCTGTTAAAGTGGATCCGTTACTCTAGCTGTGTGCAGTTTCTATTTGGAGTTAATGAGAATAAAGAGATTTTATTGAAAAAAACGTACAGGCACAATGGCGCATGCCTGTAATCCTAGTGCTTTGGAAGCTGAAGGAACAGGAGGATTGCAAATCTCCAGCCAGTCTGGGTTACAATTTAATGTCCAAAGCAGCCTGAGATGCATAGAAAGACATAGTTTCAAAAAAAATCAACAACAGCAACAAAAAACATTAAACAGTATACACAGCAGAAAGCATAGTGTGTTCCTTAATAGATAAATAGCTAGCCAATAAACAACCCCATTGCTTATTTGATGAACATTGCTCATTGCTTTAACATTTAAAGAACAGAAAATGCAAAGACTTATGAAAAAACATACCTAAACTAGGAAAGGACTCACCTCTGACAGGCATTTAAATGATGGCATTGGTTTGAATGACACTCTAAGAGGCTCTACTCCTGGCAGAGTAATTCAGCCCTGGCTACCTATGTGCATAGTTTAGCTCTCTTCTTAAAGGTTCTTTGTATACTGACTGCCAAGCCTAGCCAGTTTTCACAGATCAGGCAAAGTGCATGCAAGCAAAATATTATCTTCATTGTTACAGACACCAAAATCTACAGGAAACAGAACAGTGTTTTGCTGTCTGCAAAGCACCTTTCTTTAGCAGTTTCTATCTTTTTTTTTTAACATTAGAAACCATTTCGGTTGCATTTATCAGTGTTAGAATGGACAACTTTGAGAAAGGGGATGAACAGTTTTCCTGTCTGTTCTCAACTGAATCGTACTGCAGTGGGGGCCGCCAGGCTGAAACACAGCTGGGACACGAAGGCCTGATGTCAGGTGGGATCCAGCCTCTGCATCTGCTGGTGGCATAGAACCATGTGTGAAGTCTGCTCCCCATAACCTGCATTTGCTAAATTCATATCCTAACCCAGGCCACGAGTAGGCATGGAGACATTCCTAAAGCCATCTGACAATTAATCATTATCCCTTCTGTATTTATATATTTAGTTTTGAAGCGTTCCATGAAATTTTGCTGTGAATTGGCAGAATTGCATGGTTATAATGAGATTTTTTTAAAGGGGGTACACAATACATTCTCGAATTGTCACAGATATTAAAATAATAGTTTAAAGCCCAATACAAATTTTCAAGACCCTTTAAGGAAGTTTACTGTCTATTTAGGGAAATAGAGAGAGGTAGATAGGTTGGTAGATAGATACTTTAAACTTTCTTCGTGTTTGTGTGTGTGTGTGTGTGTGCATGTGTGTGAGTGTACGTAAGGACACACATGTCCTCCAATGCAAGGAGGGCTTATGTGATCACTCGGTGGAGTGCTCATATGGGAGCACTCATCAGAGACTAGAGCACACACCTCCTCTGGGGGGAAAGACGTGAGAGAATGGGCAGTCTTGAAGCACACTGCCCTGGAGAAACAAAAAGATAATCTGCCGCTATTCCAGAGACTATAAATACCAGGCATCTCACAGCCACCTCAGCCTTTCACAGTTTCTAAGGTTCCTACAAATTCTGGTTGACAAGTAAAATAACAATATGACACTTTTGAACGCCTTAAGTGCAAAGTTCACAAGTCTGGGGTCACCAATTTAATCCAACAGCCAAGTTTCATTTGTATCATCAGTCTGAGAAAGACAGCTTTAGAAATCAAGTGAGGGTTTGTTTTTAACACTGTGAAGACTAGAAAATTCAGTATAAAACACGAAAGGAATTAACACATTTTCAAACAACATAAAGCATATTAGTCAAATAAAACAGACGTTTCCTAAACATGTGACAAGTACATATAACATTGTCCTTAAGCTTCTGGGGAGAGTTTTTACAACAATATTTGAAGAGGAATCTGCTAACAAATCACGAGATCAACATCATCAGGTAATTGAAATATTTGTCTTCCTTCAGATTTGTCGTCCGCACATACGTGGAATCTAAAAGACAAGCTGCAGCTTTTGCTGGTAGATGCCATTTAAAGGAGAGACAGGAAGACAGATCCCTGTGTTTAACCAAATGTTAAATATTTTTTATTGGACTCACCTGCACACCGAGATGAATCCATTTCTTCACAAGAATTCTCCCCAGTGTCATTACTTTTATTGGAGGCTGCAAACCATTTAGTGTGCGATAATAAAACATGGTCTCTTTCTCTGATATTGTAACTTTGAACAAAATCTGCCCATCCACTGTCTTTTCAATCACACACCTAAGGAAGCAACCAGAAAAGACAGAAAAGGTCAACATCCAACCAAAGTGATGTGTGGAAGCATTGTACAGTGTTAAAGCGACCCGAACCCCCACGGAAAATGATGCACTAGGAGTAAGTCTGAATATGATGGTCCTGTAAGCAGGCTTTATTCTGAAGAAAAAGTCATTTTATTTCAATAAAAAATAAGATTCTTATTTACAGTATGTTCCCCAGAGCCTCAACACCCTTCATTAGAGATTCACGATGGAAACTACAGTGGTTGAATCATTCTGCAAAGCTAACATTTAGGTGACTGGCTCATTAGTTCCTTAGCTAGTCCTTGTCTAGGAAGTGGTAAAGCAAACCTCGTCCCATTTGGGTATTGAGTCACCAGTGCAAATCTTCTTTTCCTCTTCTTTTAATGTACATGTAAAGAGAATTTAGAATCCATTGAAAGCTCTAAATTGTTAGCCGCAAGCCAGAATTGCTCTATTTAATTCCTAGGATGAAACAGAACAGGCCGCTATCGTCCCTTCATACTCCATCATGTACTGGCCAGAAGCCCAAGCAGCGAGTACGAGATAACTACCTACTTCTTCTGCAACCAAACAGCCCAAATGAGGCTTTGAGAGGATGTTAACGCTCTTGGATGGAAGCTCATTTGATTTCATAAGAAGGCAGAAAAAAGGTACTTTGATTATAAAGAATTATTTTTAGAAAGTGACTAGGTCCTTACTTAGACTTACTTTATTTTTGAGACTGGGTTTGCCATACAGCTTTCATCCCCCTGTTTCAGCCTCCTTAATGTTGAGGTGACATACTAGGTATGTGCTGGGCTCAAATTGCTTTAAAATGATCATTTCTACACTAGCAACCCTTCAGAACCTTGGACTCTTTCCTTACCTGACTGCTTCCACACAGCCCAGGCATCTTTACAAGTACACCTGACTCTGAAACCTTCTTCTCTGCTCTAGAATGTTCCAGGGGTCTCATTTAGGCTCACTATGCATGTTGTGCTGTTTGGCTAAGATCAAGAATCCATCTTTCAGACCCCCAGTATTCTGAGGATATAATGAATGCATGGAACAGAGTAGAGACCCCAAAATGATTGATTTCTGTCAGAGGCACCTGAGAGGAAAAGGTAAATTTGAGCCAATTAAGAATTGCCGCTAAAGATGCTTTACAATTTTCCTTACATTTTCAAAAATCATTTCACTTGTATCTAATTTTGTCCTGATTTGGGAGGCAAAAATATGATCAGGTGATACTAATGGTCACTCTTTGATTGACACCAATTTACTTTTCTTTGTGTATGTGCTTGGCAAGATGTGAAATAAAGCATACTTTTATTTTAGAGCAGTAATTTTAGATAGAACTTTTAAATACCTGCCACTACTATTACAAAGTATTTTTAAGTCTTCTGTAGTTGGATATTTGTGGTTTACTGAAAGGAAAGCATTTCCCCTTCCCCTCCCTCTACTCCTTAGTCTAAGAGTTTCTCTTTGTTCATTTTTCTCAAGTTTAAATCTACAAGTGAGTATTCGACCATTACTCAGGAATGTATTTACCAAATGCAGACTTATTTCCCCAAGCTTACTGAAATGCCTTTCTTAATATGTTATTGATTATCTTCCTTGCTATTTTGTTTGCTTGTAAACAGACTAGCTTTGGTAGATAATAAATGTGAGGGGAAGAAAGGTAGCAAAATATTTAGGGACTGGATTTATTCTCCTCCTGAATACACAATAATTGGATAATCCATGTTTTGTTTGTTTTACTTATCTAGTGCAAACACCCCGAAATTCCCAATTCCCATAGGTATTTTAGTTCTGAAAATGTGAATGACCTTGATTTAAGCAACAAACTCTCAAAAGTATAAACCATGTGCTGCCTCAAACATCCCTCAGTTTTATTTAGATGAAGCCACGCCAATAGAAGAGGCGCATTCAGAGATGTCTCTGCAAGCCTGGAAAACACTTCATCCTAGCCCTGTTTGTCAAGAGACCATTTTTTTTAAGACTGGATGCCAATGACATAAACAAAGTAGCTTGAATTTCCTGGAATTTCCAACAGTAAGAAGGCAAATTTTCTTTCGAGGGAGCTGTCGAAATAAGGATAATGGTTTGTGTTTTAGCTCTAAATTAAAAATAAAAAACAGGAGGAACTTTATGAACTTCCACTTGACAAATGGAAAGTAAACGCTGAAGATGTCTAAGCCACATTTGTTTGCCAGGTGGCAAGAAGCTGCTGCTTTGTTTCATAAGTTTTGAGACATTCAGCCAACACTGTCACACAAAACAAACATCACAAGGGAAAATGACCAACACTCCACTGGAAAAGAAGAGGTGACAGTGCTTAGAATGTTAAGGGACAAATTTAACATTAAAAGAGGATTAATTTCTTGGGCATGATGGTACATGCCTTTAATCCCAGTACTCAGGAAGCTAAGGCAAGTCAATCTCTATGAGATTGAAGCTCACCTGATCTACATAGCAAGTTGCAGGCAGCTGTGGCCACAGGGAGACCCTGTCTCAAAAACAAATAAAGATCAGCAGGGGCTAGAGGTTTAAGAGCACTTGATTCCTGCATAGAAATCAAGTTTAGTTCCCAGCCACAAGTAAAACTGTTTGTAATTCCAGCCTCAGGGGATCCAATGCCCTCTTCTGGCCTCCACAGGTACTGCACACACACACACACACACACACACACACACAAATAAATAAAATTTAAAAAATTTTTTTTCTTTAAATTATTCAAAAAATGTCTCAAAACTACTGTACTTGTCACAAATTCTCTCTATTGTCTCTATTATTTAGGGAAAATGTGTTATATATCAACTTGAGAAAGATTACGGAGAAAAAAGCAGGTGATCACACAAACAGAAGCTGGTTGTTGAAGTCATATTTTTAACTCATGTTGAGGGCACCCTTGGAAGAATCAATAGCAGGGAAGCTTTTGAGAATCATTCACGCTTACCTACTTCGTAATAAATTGGCAGATAGAAACACAGCACAGTAAAAGGCCAAAAGCTGTCCTGTTTCGACCTGCAGTGTTATTTCAATATCCAACTCATAATATTAAACACCTTCCATGAATCACACAAACATCTCTTCTTGAGAAAATAAAGATGATTAATATAGTCCTAACTCTTCAGAAAGCTACCTGCTCAGTAAGGTGTTTTGTTTTGTTTTGTTTTTCTAGTAGGAACACTTTGTTTATGTAAACCTAAAGCAAGACTCTGAGTATATCAATTATTTCTGTTACTGGAACTGGTACCTTCAAACTCACTCTGAACCCTGTCTAGTATCCAAAGGCTAGGATCAAAAGTTCAACAATCCTATCAAATATAAATGATTCAGACATAACACATCTGCCTTCAATACACTCTTTTTCATGGTCTATTTCATCCACAACACGTAGGGAATATTTTAGGAAATAATATCTGGATTATAAGGCTAGAAATAAAAGATTAACATAGCAATCCATCGTCAACTGCAGGGACTCTGTAACATTAACCAAGTGTGTAGTTTGGACTTCAGATTGTGATAATCTTTACAGCTTCTGACTTTGTGGGTCCCGAGTCAACTGAAAACCCTCAGTGCAACTTTCCTTACTTACATTACACCTTCTTGCTCAGGTTTCAACCACACGGCCAATGGGAATTCTGCGGCCAACTTTGGAGGCAGAAGAGAAGAAAAGCAGTTTTTGGGATTTCTGAAAACAAAACTCGTGGAGTTGCTCTGGGAGTAAAGGTGAACATCACTGTGGTCCTCTGGATTGCAGCTCCCAAGGCCTTCTAAGAGAGCAGTGTAAGAGGGAGAGAGAGATCGGTAGGGGCAATCTGGAACGCACAGCCTCTGCATGCACAACTGAAGATTTTCAGCAGTTGCAGAGCTATGAAAAGAAGCACCCGGACCTCGAAGTCCACACACCGCTTGGGATGGCACAATGGAAACCTTCTTGAAAGTGCCCACATTCTCCAGCCTTGGGCAAAGGCCCTGGGAGGCGGCCAGGGGCACTGAAGCCAAATAGGGAAAGATCAGTATTTCAACGGTCTGCAACAAGAAGCCCAATGAGAGAGCCAGGCAATTCATGTTCACAGAAAAGCACTCTTCTCCAGATAAAGCATTGCTAAATAAATAACCAGTCCCACACTGCTCGCCAGCAACACTTGGATGCAGGGTACTGTAATGGTGAGATACTCCTTGGGGAAACCGCAGTCACACTTTCACACCGAGGGAAGAGCCATGATGTCCTTAGGGAAGGCCAAGACATGAGTAGAAACTGGTGTCTGGGGAACCAAAAACACAGGATGTCAACACAAAGCTGCTTAGTCTTCAAAACCCAAGTTCATCCTCAACAGCAGGACTTTGAGCCCCTTACAATAATGACATTCGACTTCTCAAAACACATTTTGAAGGTCATTGTTTATTCTCGTAAAGATCTTGATTTTGTTGAACAATCAAGCTGATAAATCCACTGGACAACCTATCTATTTAGATTGGATTAAAAATAATACACAGGCTGATCATACAGCCTCTTTCAGCTGTTACTCAACCCCAGGGAATGAGCAGGATCTTCCCTAATTCATGTGGCAAAGCACTGTATAGATTTACTTTACACAAGCACCGTATGTTGTAACCCTTAGCTGACTTGCATATGCCCAAAATCAAGCCAGCCAGGCACTTTGGTCTTTCCCTTCATCCCAGCCTGTGCAGCGACCTTAAGCTGTCAGGAAAGCTGATTAGAGAACCAGCACCATCTGCTTGTCCTATGCCTTAATATTTATCAAGCATTTGTGTTAATGTTTCCTTATATGACTGTGCATTTGGAGGTTAAACATGGATTCCTAGTACTGTGTAAGTAATTCTATTGATAAAGCCGAGTTACCATTTCTTTACTGCATTTCAACTAGTCCCCTCAGTGTAAGAAATAGCTCTCAACAGGACCCTCTGTCCCCTCATTGCCTGGCAACACTGATGTAAATTACCCCACCAACCCTTTACTCTTAGCAAACAGGCCACAGCAACAGGAAAGGCTGGAAGAAGACTTGGCACCTAGGTGAAGAATTCCACACAACTCAAATGGTTACCTGTAACCCAGTGCTGTCTGCTTGGTGGCCCCTCAGGAACTGAGCTGTCTCCAAGCATTCAGCTGGTATCTCCAGTAGTGGGAGGGAGCAAGGTGGGGTCATGCATGCATAATTTTAAAGTTGCAGTGCGCTTAACTCTCCAAGTCCCTGTGTGGCCCCTTTGATTTACTACTTTGATGAGCTTCAATCCCCAGAACTCTTTAATCAAAATGCTCTGGGACATTAAACAAAATACAAATAGTTTTAGTGCTCATTGTTTGGGAGGGTGGACACAAAATGAGGCTCAAAACTTTATGCCCATGCCCTAAATAGCTGCCCCAGTGATGGAAGTTTCTTTGGGCATTCAGTTGCTCCTGTGTCTGTCCCCTCTGGAAACCCTATCCCTAAATGCACATGGTTTCTTTAGATAAGGAACACCTGGTATTATTTCTAAATATTATTAGGTTTCTAAAGTGCAGATTTTAAATAGAATACAGAAATGATGAGACGTCCAACTGATGGTATTTGATGGCAAATTGGTAAGTGGGTATTTGTGTGAGCAGGTTGGCAGTCAATTCAATGTGCTTCTTAAACATCCAAAGCTGCCTTCCTGTCCTCTACTAATTCAGTAGGTATTTGCATCCTGCTATTTACATCTTAAAAATGGAAAATTGTCTGGAAATCAAAGAGTCAATTGTGGCTCTCTTTATTTACATAATTTTATTTATAGAAAACTTTAGAAGAGACATGTTTCTAAGCTGTTTCTTCTAAAAGGCAACCAGAGGAGCTGGAGAGATTTCTCAGTGTTTAAGAGCATGGACTGCTCTTGCAGAGAACCTGTGTTTGAGTCCCTGTATCCACATGGCAGCTAACAACCATCTGAAACTCCAGTTTCAGGGAATCTGATGCCATCTCCTACCCTATGAGGGCACTGTACACATGGAGTGCACTTACATATATACAAAGAACTCATACACATAAAATAAAGGTAATCAAAAAATTTAAGGCAGAGACAAACCTAAATTATTTCCTGATTCCCTTTCTTTCCCATGAGAAAGTTGTAGTATTAGACATTCTCATTTTCTTCCAAAATACCCTAGTTCCTGCTTATTAGTATTTTTTAATTAAGAGCAAATGTTAGTATAACTCAGCTACATGAAAGAACTTACATGAATTTTGGAAGATGTGTTTTAAAAATAGGCATACGGAACATGATGCATTAAACAAATGGATTATTCAGACATGCTATTAAACACCAATCAACCTGTTTTCTGACAATCTCTTCAGTTGCTCGAGTCTCTCTATAGCCCATAAACATAGGCGCAGACATTCAGTTTTAATTTTGTGATACGGCACCCTCTTAACATAGCTATGTCGTGTTAAAGTTTAGGCTGACTCTAGTCTCTGAAATTATCAAGAGGTTGGCCCAAAGTATGGAAACACACATCGGCAGGCCACAGTTGTTTTGGGAACAGGTCAGAGTGTCCTGGAGAGCAGTGGCTAACTGCAGGTTTATAGCTTCTGTAGGATTTGCTTGGCTTGCTTCTGCAAAATAGTAATTCTTGCTTAATAGAATAGAAATTGTTGGGGAGGCTTTGCACCTATAAGCTTGGGAACTTAAACTTTTCACCACTGGTAATGGATTTTCTGTATAAAAGCTTACCCTAGAGATGGCTCTGGGCCACACACTTGGGTTCTGACACCCTTGTGTAGTCACTGGCCAGCAAAGACTTTCATTCAGCAGAACTTTGTCTCGGTGGCTTTCTCTGGTGAAGCACCCATAACAATTTTTAATTACTTCAGTTACCATTACAGAAAAAAATTATTCTCCCATACAATATCTACCTGTTAGTTAATAGGAATCATGGTTCAAAATGGATGATCTAAGAACAGAGGGGACTCACTAGGGAAGTACTTGTCCCCTAAGCATGACGACTTGAGTAGGGATCCCCAGAACCCACATAAAAGGCCAGGCATAATGGCACATCTGTAATCCCAGTGCTGGAGAAGAAGGGGTCAGAGGCAGGCTGATCCTGGGTGCTCACCTGCCAGCTAGTCGGGCCAAAACGGTATGCTTCAGGACCAGTATCTCAAAATAAAATAGAATAGGGTTGGAAAGATGGCTCAGTGGGAAAAAGCTCATCTCCAAGTCTGAAGATTCGAGTTTGATCCAGGAGCATAGTTGGTGGAAGGAGAGAACAGACTTCTGCCAAGTTGTTCTCTGACCTGTGCACACATATGGCACGTGCGCACACGAGCACACACACGTAGTACTAAAATAAAAAATAAACCATGAAATAAATAAGGTAGAGAAGCAATTAAGTAAAGACATTCCAACATTAACCTCTGCCCTCCACACACACCTGTGAGTATACCGCCCACATGCTGATTCACCATCTCCTCAGTTCATCACTGAGACAGCCCCAGCCCCAGGTAGGAACTCAAGCCAGAAACCTGGAGGCAGGAGCTGGAGCACAGGCCATGGAGGAACGCTGCTTACTGGCATGCCCCTCCGGCCCATGCTCAACCTGCTTCTTATGTAACGCAGGCCTACATGCCCAGGGGTGGCACCGTCCACAGTGTACTAGGCCCTCCCACATCATTCAACAATCAAGAAAATACCCCACAGACATGCTCATAGGCCAGTCCAATGGAGGCAATTCTCCAACTGAGGCTCCTCTACCCAGGTGTGTCACGTTGACAACTGAAGCATCCAGCAAACTCACTATGGTAAGACTAGAAGCTGCTGAGTTTCCAGGTGCAACTGGCTTAGCTCCTGCCTGTGGTCAAAATTAAAGGACATTCCTTATTTTTGGGTGTGTACTAATCCATGGATTTACTACTAAAAGTGATTAATCTCTGACATAAGTAATCCAGGAAAGAAAAGCTCATATATAATAAGAAACATGAATTATAAAACTAGGGACATAAACTATAGATGCAACATGATTGCAAAGAAAATATTGCTAATATTTCTGTGACATGGAAAGAATCTACTCCAGCAAGTTGTCCTCTGACCTCCACACACTATGGCATCCCTACACATACAAGCCAAGTAAATAAATGAATAAATAAATAAATGCAATGAAGAGAATCATCAAGAATGTAAAGTGATGACTGATCAAGCCAGAAAAAAGTATAGGAAAGTTTTCAGGAAGATTAACCACAGGACTGTCTTACTGTGAATCACAGTACATCTATTAGGGCAAAGCAGGAGCTCCTCCTTACGCTGACTTCACGCAAATATTTACAAAAGTCTCAGCAGAAGTCGAATCTCAAATTCTAAGCAACTGTAAGTCAGCCACACGAAGGAAGCTTTCTTCTCTGAAGCAGGTCTCAGTTTGCCCAGTGCCCTGATGGAAGTTGACTCACTGGAATAGTTTGATTCCCGAAGCCAGCACTGCTGCTGATAGAATGTTTGCTACAGACATTTGTCAACTTCAAAACCTCTCACAGACAAGAAGAAATAAGATCTAAAGAGAAAAGCCACTGGGAAGTGCCCACCCTCAGAAACTGGCTCGTGGGGGCCCAGCAGGCCATGGTGAGGTACCACTTGACAATCCGAGGGCAGATGCAGCACCCGTAGAACATCCTGCCTGGCTGCAGGTCCTCGGTTCTAGCTCTCACAAGATCAGAGGAAGCTGGTGAAGGGCTCCTATGTTTTACAGAGAACATAAATTAGTAAAACTTAGACTGTGACTTCCACCACTCAGAACATTATTAAAGGAAAGACCAAAGGCAGACAGACAAAGTTTGGGTTGCCAAGCCTCCGCCAGCTGACGGCTGTGTGTTCCCTGACAGGTCAAACTCCTTCTGCCTCAACTTCCTCATCTATGAAAGGAGACTAGTGTAACTTACTAGGGTTGCTGAGTCATTAACTTTGGCGAATGTAAGACAATGACTGAGTCTTCACGGTCTTCTCCCATTGTCTTCCCCCCAATGTGTAGCTATTAAATTTTTCTATAATTGTGTATCCAGAAATAAAAGAGAATCAGCACATGTGGAGGAAATCCCAGTTTACAT